TAATTTTTAATTCAAAAATTATATGAATAGATTTGAATTGATCTTTCTTTGATTTATTTTAGGGAATGAAGGATTTTAAGTAAAGAATTTAGAAGATGGGCAAATAATTTAGTTAATTCATTTCTTTAAGTTGGAAGGTCAACAAACTGTATTTCTGTATTTGATTTTAGGAAAATTTAGGCAATTATCTTAGAGATGTGTTTGAAGAGATTTTATTTGTTTATTTGTTTAATTTTGAAAAATTTTATTTATTTATTTTTTTAATTCAAAAATTATATGAACATATTTGAATTGATCTTTTCTTTTTATTATTATTTATTTTAGGGAAGGAAGGATTTTAGGTAAACATTTTAGAAGATGGGAAAATAAATATTTAATTCAATTAATTTAAAGGGGAAATTATTGGAAACTCCCATTTTGGAGAGTTGTAGTCTACCAGGTCCCATTTTAAAATTAATAGACGTCCAAGTCCTATTTTTTTGGTAATGTGATCCGAAGGATCCCATTATGTAATTATGGATTGGTTTTTCTGACTAATGTACCCTTTTTTTGTGGTTGAAACGGTTTTTGGGAGGGTTTTTGAATTATTTTGATTACACTGATTTCAGTGTCCACTATGGGAAGATCAAGTGTGGCCAGATTTTTAGGGATGACGAGGATCATGACTATTTGAATGTTGCGTGGTGGAGGGGAGAGGTTATTGTGTGTCAGTTTTACGGTGGTGTACTCAGTTGTCTGCTTCAACGTTGTTGGCCGTGGGGTTGGGTTCTTCGATTGCGGCAAAGGTAATATTGTTGGGTATTTGTTTTCTATGTTAAAGGCATCATTTTTGGGGGGTGTAAGCGTTGTCATGATGTTTCGCAATGTTGGCGGTCTTTAAACACATGTATCATACTTCGATGTTTACATCCCACAAATAATCGATGTGTTCGATTGGTGTTTGCGGAAACAAGAATAGTTGAATGTTTTTAGATTTTTCGATGTTTACATCCCACAACTAATCGATGTGTTCGATTGGTGTTTGCGGAAAGCATAATGTTTGTATGTTTGTATAGTTTGTAGTTGTGATGTATGTACTGTACTTATAATGCGAAAGCGACGAATGTGATTTTCCATATTTAATCTTCATGTTTCATTCTGTCTCGATGCAGTAATGGCGGACAACATCATGTTGTTGTGTTTATACGAGATTGAAAATGTTGCCATTATGGTCCGTAATGATTTCACGTTTACCATGTTGGTTGATCATATTTCCAGACGTTTTGGTGGGCAGCATACTGATTCGGCGTCCATGTCATTCAAGATTCCTGGGTACAATAATTTCAAGATGGAAAACGATTCCGATTTCGAGAACATGGTATGTCTCGCTAGGTCTTTTCGATTGGATCATATCGACCTCCATGTGGAGGAGCGTGGTGAGTCACGGGGCATCAAACGTGGCAAGGGTGCGAACGATGTACTCAACGACATAGTTAGTGATGTCGGGGCAATGGCAGCATATATTGATGAGGAGTCTGATTTGTTACCTAATTTTTGCCCACATTCCGGCAAAGTGTTATTGTCAGCGGATTGGATATATGGCATAACTAACATCGGACAATGTTTCGAGGGTGAGGCGGATAAATTTCTCAAGGTACTCAGCAAATATGCCATTAAATGTGGGTTTCAATTTAAGTTCACCAAAAACGACTTAGTTCGAATTACGACGAATGCATGTTTAAGGAGTCAAAGGGATGTCCATGGTCCATCCATGCGAGGGTGTTGAATGCAAATGGATATGTTTACCTAAAAAAATGGCACTGTCAACACATTTGTGAGGTCGCTGTGCGTACTGACCGAAACCCGCGGATGAGGTCTGAATTAGTTGCAGACGTTATTGCAGAACGTTTACATGACAAACCATTGACTTGCCCAATCGATGTCAAATATGATTTCAAAAAAGAATACGGTTTGCAAATTAGTTACCGCGTAGCTTGGTTGGGCGTTGAAAAGTCGAGGGGAGGACTTTACGGTGATCATTCAATGTCGTTTGACCAATTGCGTTGGTATAGCAATGCTGTTATGGAATATAATCTGGGGAGTTATATTAATCTTGACTTTGATGACCACAACACCCGTCGTTTCAACAGACTTTTTATATCATTCAAAGCATCTATTGATGGGTTAAGCACTGTCAGCCGCTACTATTTTTGGATGGTACCTTTCTGAAAAGGCGATTCAAGGGGCATCTACTTGCGGCAACCATAAAAGATGGGAACCAAGGTAACATACTCACTGTGCACGTTATCCGTTTTTCGGGCTCATAGATTTTGTTTTTTTTTGCCACCCGTTTGGGATTTGATATCAAACGTTTGTAATTATGTGTTTGAACGGCTGGTAATTAATTTTTATGTTATGCACACAGGTTTGTTCCCGGTTACTTTTGTAATTATTGATTTTGAAAACGCGCAGAATTGGGCTTGGTTCGTACAGAACCTAGCTAATAACGTTGGTGATGGGGATCGAGTTTTGACATTTGTTTCGAACCGACACGTCGGCATTATAGAATCCCGGCCTATTGTCTTTCCAATGGCCCACCACGCTTTTTGCATGCAACATTTATAGAGGAATTTGAAAGACAAGATGAAATATGTGAACAAACTATACCGCGTTGGAATGGTAAGTAAGTTGCGTGCTTGTGCATATGCACCTACCGTCATTGCCTTCAATGAAAAAATTGATGCATTCATACAGTCAGGTTGGCACATCGCTATAAATTTCTTACAAGATTTAGAGCCGCACTGATGGGCCAACGCATACTTCAGGTGAGGGACACCATACAATTCGAAGTTTATTCTTGTACACAACCTTTCATCGTGTATGTTTTTCTGCTTTTGCTGTTATGTCACACACCCATTTTTTTCACTCACATTTTCCAGGGGCAAATGTTACGACGAGATGTGTTCTAACGCCGTTGAATCATTTAACAATTGGATAAAAGAAGCACGCAATTTGCCAATCACTCGTTTGGTTGACACAATCAGGACACAGATAATGAATCAAATGTCTGAACGTAGGGGAGCGTCAAGTACGTGGACTGGTGCCATATGTCCAATCATGGAGCCCAAACTAGACAAGGTGTACAAGGATGGAAGGTCCTAGATAGTCAGTCAATTGAATGATGACGTGTTCAAGGTCCACTCACACCCATCAGTGTTGGTGGACATTGGTAGTCGTACATGCTCATGCTTCCAATGGCAAATCAATGGGTTTTCTTGTCAACATGCAATGGTTGCCATCCACAACAGTGGCAATGATTTGAATGCATTGGTTGAACCTTTTTTTCATGTGTCAACCTACCAGTTATCATACTCCCACACCATATATCCAATCCCAACAGTTGAAAAACCACATGCTAATCCGGAAAATTATGTTATTCTACCTCCGGTAGTGCGACGACCACCTGGGAGACCGAGAAGAAACGGATACCGTCTAAAGGTGAAGAAGTGCAACAGATTCGATGTGGCTGTTGTGGCAGCTTGGGGAATCATAGTAGGAAGACATGTAACGAACCAATATAGCGCTAACCATTGCGTGGCCACGTTAATTTTCCAACTATTTCTACATTTTCTAATGTTTTATGTTTGTTTAGTCATATGGAATAAGATATTTCAACTTTAATTACACACTCCAATAAAGTGGTTAGTTCGTTTTTAATGTTGGTGTTACGTTTTAATATTCATATCATGTTTTTTTCATTTTGTTTTAAAACATTTGTCCTTCCACGTTTGGTGTTATGTTTTACTTTCAGATTGTTTGTGTTTCTGCACAAAAAAAAAAAAATAATAGGTTCTAAAATTTTTGCCCTTCCACATTAGGTGTTTTGTTTGAATTTCAAACCATGCTATTAGTGTTCTGTTAAAAAAAATTAACAAGTTTCAAACGAACAAACAATGTCTCTTCTTTTTGGGTGTCACATTCAAATTCCCTAACATGCATTCAACGGCAAATTCATTGGACTCATTTAACGCATAACTCAGCGACACCACCACATGACTGTCCAACGCCACAGTATCCCATCCTCAACGTAACAACCCCAGATTACATACTCAGTCCCCACAACCATCAGGCCCCAATTTCTAATCAACTTTCACACCACAAACAACATAACAACTACTCCATATTTCCATTAACAAAAACAAACACAAGGCATTGTATTATTCACAAACCCATGCTAGAATTGTGACGACTACTTTGCATCAAACCAACCCACATAAAACAGTTTCACTCTTTTGAATTGGCGCCCATAATTCCCAGACGCATTGCGATTGGATGTAGAAAATAACCTGCATTATATTTCGAGAACATCACATTGTATCTTCCAAGTCACTTCGAATAACATATTCAATATAACCAACCAGCAAATAAACACACCATAGTGAACAATTAAACAAAAAGAATGGGAGCATTAATGTGCCAACGCCAGCCACCTTCATTGCATGTCTCCAATGTCAACAACGACACCACATTAGTATGAGTCCATTACCCAAAAGCATGCACCCTAATTATAAAGCAACATTCGTAATTCATTAGCCCATAATATAACAGACGATGATAGTGCAATCATCCATATTGTTGACAACCACACCACATACAGAAACAAACATTTTTAGACCTAAATGCTACATGCAACCAACATTTCCGCAACAAACATTTCACATTCATTACCCCATCAATTTGAGTCCACTATTCAACTTTGGGTTACTCAAACATAAAAGCTATGTACCAAGGTCCCAAAAAAGGACTTGCACGACCATACTGTGCCACACAAATCGTACCATCAAAGCTACTGTCACTTGCTTTATAAACTATTCCAAGCAAAACATAAGTTACCCAACAAAACAGAACAAAAAAAAAAAAAAAAAAAAAAAGCACAAGCAAATAAACCAAAAACAAAACACTAAGTGATGTATTCCGCCACATTCTGCATTTGCTACGTTCTGCAGCCCCCTGGTAGGAACATCCACAAACGCTTCCACCATCGTCGCCCGTGCTTTCACGCAGTTCGTACCTTCCATTGTTTTCTTGATCCCGTTGTGATGGACATATTGCCGCATAACATAACAGACGATGATAGCGCAATCAGGCCTATTGTTACAACAACACCATGTATAGCAACAAACATTTCAGACATAACAAATGCTAATCGTGACAAACAACAAATAACTTTAATTTACAGAGTACACGTACGAATCCAATCGCTGTTGTGGGGAGTCAGTTACTACTTCCAGCAAACAATCCCGATCCTGCGCTAACACCACGTCTGCACCACTGCTTGAAAGCTGCTTTTCTCGTACAAAGTTAACCACATTTCCTTTCTGCCACATTTTAAAAAACACTGTCATCATGTCACATCACACATGCTTACCAAAACAAAGAAAACAAAACTTCGGTAAAACACAAACCACCTGTTAACTTATAACTTCACATCTTCCAACCAAACTTACCAGCAACAATGCCTCGTTGTAGTGTGTGTCTTCCGACCCGGGTCGCGGCCTAATTGAATTGTAATGCTTCCAACTGCCAACTTCTGTGTCATAAACAACTAAGGTCCAGTGTGATTTGTGGCATATCGGGAAATGCCAGAACCTGCAACCAACTGATGCACGCATGTTGGCCTCGAGATACCGATCCCTTGTTGTTTTGTTTACGTTATTCACCATACCCTGTGTTTCACATCATTTCCAATTATGTCTACCAACACCAAACTCGCAAATACCCACATTTACAAATGCGATCTTTCAAAACACTTACCAAATAGATGCTACTGAAGAAGTACGACTTCTCTGCAAAAACCACACCGGCAGACAACACATTCTGCTTACTCACAAGCATCTCTGCACATGCGTCAATAACCTGCCATCACCCAAATTAACACATCAGCCAAAGATACAGTTGACAAAGACCTTCCTGGGAACACACATGTGTCCAGTGTGTGTGTGTGTGTAGGGGGAGGGGTGTTTAGGCAAAACAAATGGAACATGCATTTTAATTGTCTCATATAGCTTGCTACGTACATTGCCCCTTATCACAGATTGTCGTACTATATTTTTGATGTTTGAGAAGTAAACAAATATATCCCTAGTGCTTCCAGTCCACACAATTGTCACGACCCAAACTCGCCCCTATAGGTTTAGTATCGTAATCGGCTAGTAATCCTAGGATTACCAAAGGCCTCTGAGACAGATTAACATAATATTAGGGGCTAGCGGAAGCAAATAACAACATACAACGTCCGTTGAGCTGTGCAGACTTATATGAGACAGAAAAATTTTAAACTATTTATATACATATATACACATAAACTTTAAGTCATCCTATATATACAGATTAGACAAAAAGGATTTAGCCCTATTTACAAAAATACACCAAACTTGATTAACCAAACAAGAAAATAGAACTTAAACTTTATAACACATAGCGACAATCACTTGACATATCCGGAACCTCCACGGGAGGCACATGGGTTGGCTGACAAAACAGATTCTAGGCAGATGCCTCTAAGCCTGGTCATACGCCTGATCACCTACATACATAAATAATACAGTGAGTTAGAGCCCAATGAATAATAACAGAGTAAAAGGGTTTTAATGAATAATGTTCATTACAGAGTCAGAAATCAAATTCTTATGCATATTCAGATTCCAAATCAGAAACAGATTCATATACATATTCATAATCATTTCCATATTCAGGTTTTTCACATAAGCATACGTGGTGCATCCAATAGCGTTAACATATCTGATGACCCATAAAGGGACCTGATGACCCATGAAGGAACCTGATGACCCATAAGGGACAGCCCTGAAGGCATTCTGATGACTCATGTGCATAGAGACGTTCTGATGACCCATAAAGGGACGCATATCATGTGATGCTAAGGATGCCACGGTTAATTTTCAGAATCTTGGACAATCATTCATTCGTTTCAAATATATCATAGCATTTCCAAGAATCAATCATTTCGTATCATAATATTCCGAAAATACATAACATTGAATATAACTTTACAAAGTTACTACTCACAGATAGCCGCAGAAGCAAATCAGACGGACTGGACATATCAGATAAATCAGGCAAACAATGGCGCGTGACCTATACAAGCACATAACATATACACATTGAAATACAATGTTACTTCCCTGGCCAAACTTGACTTTTTCCATCTAAATAGTCCGAAGTTCTACTACGCTTATTCTTTCTCATTTAAATAAACCGGTTCTTATTTCACATATTCTTTCATTACTAAGTCCTTCTTTTCCAAATAGATTGATCTTTTACTTGGCTTCTTAAACAACTACCACTAGATCAATGATTCATTCTTCAACTAACTAATCCATGTTGATTGGTAGCTTATTAATCTTCATCGAGTCATAAATCATGTCTAGAATGCCTTGGAAAGTGATGAGAATAAAAATGTGAACTAAATGCAATTTTTCAAAATATGCTGAAAATAGGTCTCCGCTCGAGCGCCACTTTTGCTGCTCGAGCGGACTGTAAAATTGAAAAACTTCTGAGAGTTCGATTTTCACGCTCGAGCGAGACTCCTCGCTCGAGCGGACAGCGTAAATTATGAAAATTCCAGAATTGCAAATGAAGTTCAAATTTGATATTCAAAGCCTCAAAACATATATTTTGTATACACAAAAATGGAGAATCATTGTATGATTTAGTAAACACTTTCAATTGGAAAACATTCATTCAAAATCATGTTCTAATTGCCCAAATTTAATTTTAATTCATCTTATCAATATCAACCCACAATTCTAAAATATAAATTAGGCTTTCCAATTCTTGAAATTACATGATGCATGTGTGATTAAAACTCAATTTCATATAAGACAAATAAATTTAAACCCAAAATGGTTATTTTCAATTTAACTTCTATAATTTTGAATCTAATTCAACTCCTACACCATTTTACTAATTCCTTTTAATGTACATGAAATTGAAGTTATAAGACTCTTAGGGAAATATTTGCATGTACGACATTAAGATTAAAACTAATTAATTTTCTATATTCAAAATTACATCAATGTTTAATTTTCTATAAACTTGATTTTTCTTATAAAATTTCTTCCTTCTTCTCTTCAAAACATGAAATTGTTTACCTTAAATTCCTCAAAACATGAATTTGAACGGCTCAATTTCTTCAAAATCCAAGATACATGAAAATATGGACTCAATATTCATAGAATTCCTTCATGCATGTAACAATGGAATTTAATTTCATGCAAGGTTATAAAAATCAAATTCAAAATAACTAATTTCCATAAACATGAACTTACCTTAATTTTGTTGGTAATTTCTTTCTAATTATAAGAAGTTGAAGTGTCAAACCTTTGGAAAATAATGATGCATGTAAAAT